GAAAATCTAACGTCAAATTCGTTTTTCTCGTGTCAAAATACCCCTCCATACCGATTTTCGCGCAAATCCATCGAAAAATAACCGGTATGAAATTTCGGCCATTTTGAACTTTAACCGGCCGCCATTTTGAAACAGTTTGAGATATTGACTTCGGGTTTGTGCGAAAAGTTTTCTTTTTTTATGCTCTTTCGAACGAGCTATCACAAAGGGGGTCTTCCCATTTGAAAATTCAAAGTTGGGGGCCGTTGCCCCCCCAAGGGGGCCAAAATTTTAGGGGTGCCAAAAAGTAGGTCCCTTTGACCTAGGAATATCCCCCAAGTTTCAAATTTTTATCTCAATTAGGTAAAAAGTTAGAGGGGGTGGAAGGGACTTTTGGATCACCCTGTATATAAATTTGAGTGGCATATATTTTCGTGATCTACGACCCGTGATCGGTGCTCTTCACAAGGTCTCCGGTCTGGGTCCGACATCATGGGAGAATGCAATAGTGTATTTTCTTCGGAAAATACACTAAAAAACTTTTCGCACAAACCGGAAGTCCATATATCAAACCGTATCAAAATGGTGGCCGGTTAAATTTCAAAATGGCCGTAAGTTGACACCTCGGTTGTTTGTGAATGGATTTGCCTGAAACTCGGTGTTCCCGGCGGACACAGGACACAGGTAGATCGCGGCACCTAATACGAAGACGCACGTGCTTACGATCGCTCGTTGTTATCACCGCCGCATCTCCTTTCCCCCCTTCGCGCCGCGCCTACCTCTCCTGCTGGCTAGACCCGCGGCTAGCGTTTTTCCGCAGTACTGATTGTGTAACCGCGTAGTATCGTGCTTCAGTCGCGTTTTCTGCTTTTTCCTTTGCTTTGCCTTCTGTAAGTGTTGCGTATTCTCGCTGTACGTGCCTTTCCTTTTTTCTATATTTATATCTTTGCTTTCCGCTAGCTTACCGCCGTTTTCTGCTTATCTAAAGTGTTTAACGCCGTAAATATTAGGATAGTTCATGCAAGCATGGCTATCCTAACAATAATGTGCTAGACGCCGTAATTCTCGGGTGAATATCCAGCCTTTCAGCATGTGACCAGCTTACAGCCTTTTGGGACCTGCTCCTCCCTCGCCAGCCCGCTTGCAGCCCCTTTCAATGCACCCCATTTTAAGGTAGGCTCAATTTGCCATCTAGTCTCTCAGCGCTGAGTGCCATTATGCAATTTTCTGTGTCTTCTTGCGATTTCATCTTTCCTCATTTTCTCTGCATCATATCACTTCTTTTTCTTTGGAGCCTCGGCTCCAACACTTTGTATCGGGGAGTATTTTGACACGAGAATAACGAATTTAATGTTAGATTTTTAAGAAACCAAAATTGCCGAAAATTGGTTGTATTTAGAAATCTAACTTGTAATGTGTTATTCTTATGCCAAAATACCCATAGGTCCGAAGTTTCAGGCAAATCCATCACCAAAAATCGAGGCGGCAAGTTTTTGGCCATTTTGAACTTAAACCGGCGGCCATTTTGAAAATTTCACTTTTTTGACATTCTTCCGTCAAATTCGTTTTTCACGTGTCAAAATACCTCCCGATACTGTGTTTCGGGCAAATTCATCCCCGAAAAACCGAGGTGTCAATTTTCGGCCATTTTGAACTCTAACCGGCCGCCATTTTGATAATGTTTGAGGTATTGACTTCAGGTTTAAGTGAAAAGTTTTTTATGTGTTTTTTCAAACGTGATATCACAAAAGGGGTCTTCCTATTTGAAAAAAAAAATTGGGGTGCGCCCTCCGAGGGGGCCCCCTTGAAAATTTCAGGGGGGCCAAAAAGTAGCTCCCTTTGACCTAAGAACATCCCCCAAGTTTCAAATCTTTATCTCAACTGTGTTAAAAGGAAAGACATTCGGTCTTTATAATATTTCTATTCCATATTTATCTTATTATAATTACTATGTATATATAGTGCCCCACTGTATTATACTTTTCCTCCTACCCCTATCTAGGGGACATAACATTTTAATAGCACTAGCATTAAGTCTTAGCCTTAAGTCTAGTCATAATCATAGTGTAAATATTCCAATTGCTGTACAAGTAGGAGAATAAGTTTAAAATAAAAAAAAAAAAAATTGTTAAAAGTTAAAGGGGGTGGAAGGAACTATGGATCACCCGTTACAATGAAGCGCTTCCCTCCTCTATCGCAAGAAAATTTGGATTTATCACTAAACAAGTTACAAAATGATACTTGGGTACCATAGCATTTTCTAGGAACAGGTTTAGGAAGTCAGGATCCCACTAAAATTACTTTGCCATCTTTTGTGATTCTTAAACGTTTAAAATCTTCTTGATCTTATAACTCTCACTTCAGAAGCTTTTGATCTTAAAGCTCTCAAGATAGGTCAAACACTCTTGTAAATTTATCATTAAAAATTTAATTTATTGTGTTTTGTTTTGTTTGTTGCCCCGTATTGCTCATGAGATATTTTCTCCTTTGATTGTCCTCCAAAATACCCCAACCTTAAGCCATCCAAAAAATTTTTTGGATCATTGATGTTCAATGATTTCCTTGTCTCATTAAATTACACAGTTAATACCCCTAAGATGGAAATCGAATGATTCTAAGCACTGTAGGACTATATGTTTAGATAGGTTTATGGTTATCAATTGCTTTGGAAGAATTAAAGATTTTGATTGAAAGACAAACGCAAGTTGAGTTGCTTAAATCTTAAAAAAAGAGTTTTACCCAATTTCAAAAGGTTTGCTGTAAAATTCCTTGGTATTTTACATTACAGCAAACATTATTACTTGGATCTTTACAATGATTAGTCATGATAAAAATAAAATTGATGTCAGAACTAATTTCTTTATCACTTTTAACAGTTGGGTCCAAAATGCGGAAAAGTTGAGGCTCAAAAATTCCTGCAGCGACTGATCACTAGGGTGGGACTTATTTTTTTAAATCGACAAAACCAAATGTTGCACGGTTTTAAATAGTTCTATGTGATAAAAAAACACGGTAGCCAAGAGGATTTTGAGAAAGAAATTTTTTAACCTAGCGCGCACAGAGCCTAAACATCGAGATTTTTCTGGTTTTTTCGGCATTTTCGTCGTATATTTTTGATATTTTTATTAGACACCCTGTAATGACTCTGGAAGTTCGAAAATTGGGGAAAAGCAAGTTCGTACCACTAGTATGGAAGGGCAAATTTCAAAAGATCCATAGATGTTTGATTGTTTGTCGCACGGTGTCTTCAGATACACAAATAAGTGAAAAATATACCTCCATTTTGACCGGTCTTTCGCTATCAAAATTTAATAGACACCCTGTAATGACAGTGGAGGTCGAAAACTTTGCTGAAAGTAAGTTCATTCCATCTTCATGCAATAAAAAATTTTGCTTCGTTCCTGTGTTATGCATTCCTCGTTGTGCGGTGCCCGCAATCGTATCGGAAACGTCAAGTATACCTTGAATTCGGCCAATTTTTTTTTTACCGAATTACTTTTGCAGACACCCTGTACTGACAGTGGAAGTCCGAAGCTATGTAAGAAGCTAGTGTTGAAAGAAAACAATGGATAGATTCAGGTATTTTTGAAGTGTTCGCCTCACTTTAGGGCGTCTAGCAACAACAATAAAAAATTTAAGGGTCTTCGAAAAATTGCCGTTCCTTAGTGATGTATAACGTATATTTGCTTGCACTTAAAAGAGTCGTCGATGTCATAACAGGGTGCCAAAAAAATTTCTCACCCGAAAAATTGGCCGAATTCAGGTATACTTGACGTTTCCGATACGATTGCGGGCACCGCACAACGAGGAATGCATAACATAGGAACGAAGCAAAATTTTTTATTGCATGAAGATGGAATGAACTTACTTTCTGCAAAGTTTTCGACCTCCACTGTCATTACAGGGTGTCTATTAAATTTTGATAGCAAAAGACCGGTCACAATGGAGGTATTTTTCACTTATTTGTGTATCTGAAGACACCGTGCGACAAACAATCAAGCATCTATGGATCTTTTGAAATTTGCCCTTCCATACTAGTGGCACGGACTTGCTTTCCCCCAATTTTCGAACTTCCAGAGACATTACAGGGTGTCTAATAAATTTCGCCATTGAAGAAACGGCCGAATTGAGGTATTTTTGACGTTTGAAGTGATTGCGGGCACCGCACAACGAGGAATGTAAGACATAGGAACCAAGTAGATTTTTTTATTCCTTGCGGAGGGTATGAACTTACTTTGTACAAATTTTCGGACCTCCACTGCCACTACAAGGTGTTCAAAAAAATTCTCCAAAAACGGCCAACTTGAGGTATTTTTGACGTTTTCGCTGCCATTTCGGGTATCGCACGACGAAGAATATAAGACGTAGGAACCAAGTAAATTTTTTTAATCCATACAAACGGTATGAATTTACTTTCCACAAAATTTCGGACCTTCATTGTCATTACAGGGCGTCCAATAAATTTTCGAACGCGAAAAAACGGTCAAAATTGAGCTATTTTTGACGGGTTTTCCACCATTGTGGGCATAGTTTGGTAGAAAATGAAAGACCTAGGAGTTTTCTGACATTTGCCCTTCCATACTGATGGTATGGACTTGCTTTTCACAAATTTTCGGATTTTTACTACCATTATAGGTTGCTCAAAAAGTTCATTATACGTTAAAAAACGGCGAAATTTCGATTTTTAGAGCTGCCGAGCGGAGAGTTTCGGCATTATCAAGCGAAGTGATAGTGATCTAGGAGAAAAACAAAAATTTTCCCTTAATCTGCAAGGTGTGTGCTAGGTTTTTACCAATTTTTGGACATCTAGCGTCAAATCCGTGTTGCTGGCAAAAATATCAAAAATATACGACGAAAATGCCGAAAAAACCAAAAAAATCTCGATGTTTAGGCTCTGTGCGCGCCGGGTTAAAAATTTTTTTTCTCAAAATCCTCTTGGCTACCGTGTTTTTTTATCACATAGAACCATTTAAAGCCGTGCAACATTTGGTTTTGTCGATTTAAAAAAATAAGTCCCACCCTACTGATCACGTGTTGCGTTAGCACTAAGAATCATCTGATTTCGCTTAAATTTGGGGATATCAAATGTTTAACATAATGACGTAAAATACCATTGAATATTCATGAACCGGGATAATTTTTTTGATTGCGGTAATCTGGGACATTCTACTGTCCATGTAAGGTAGACTTATATCCGGGTATCGAAGTCCGAATCTAGATCAGTTACGTTTATCGTCTTCAGCCTCATTTCTTCTGGTTTGAAGTTTGTCAAGGGTGTCACCCCTCATCACAGCTTCTAATACTATTGGTTCAGGGAATTAAAAGTGAATAATTAATTTTTTATAGCTCGTGCTGGATCCAATTTGACAATATCCTTACCTCAAACGTGGACTACCCTTGATGGATCGAAAAGTACCGATGATGTAGGCATAGTATCCTGGAAATGGGAATCTATAAGGTAAAGGCACACCCCCTATTACTGTCTAAAATTCATTAATTTCAGAGTTTGTAACCCTCGCCTGTATAAGAAAAAAGAGAGAGCACGATGCGGCAGAGTGAAGACAACGAGAAGAAAGACTGAGACAGGGCCTCGGAGGAGCCTAAGACTAGGTCAAAATGGAAAGGAAAAACACGAGGTTGTGTTAGGGCAGGACCAAAAAAACTGCAAACCCGATCAGACCGGACACTAAAAAGAGGAAATGAACACGAAAGTTTTGGCCTTAAAGGCCAACCCCCCCCCCCCCCAAAAAAAATACATCTTAGAGGGATGGGGGATGCGACCACGAGAACCAAAGGTAGAAACTACAGTAAAATGGAGCCACTTGTGGTGGGAGATGGTAAGGTGTTGATGATCGCTTCCCATTGGTCCGGACTGTTCCAAAACAATCCGGGTGGGAAAAGGTCTCAAATATGAATGTAACCTCGTTACAAGTTTAATTCAAATGAAATTGATAACTCTGTTCAAGGATATCAAAATGCCCCCTGATGATATCAGAGGGGCCTTTAAACTGAGGTTTTTGAGAATTTTAACCTTGTACCGCATCCTCTTCTCCTATGGACCTTCAAAACTTGTACTGAGAGGAATTTCGTCTGGAATATTTCTTAATTATATTTAATATCTTTATGACTGTTATTGTGGCATAAGCCTCTCAGTTTTATTTCGCAAAAAAGCAATATGTGTGCGTCACTTATCACTATCCGCAATTATGATATTTGTGTACCCTGAGGATTTATCCAAACCTACAGACAAACGCCTTACCACTCACTCTCTGGCGCTAAAGTCTGGTATTTTTGACTGTGGTAAGGACTCTTTTGACCCTCATGTCCGGAATCTTTGATCATCTCCCATTGCTCCAAGTGGTGAAATTGAGCCTATCTGTAAATGCATATCCTTACAACAGTGTGCGGTAATAGTCGCAGCTAGAGCACCTGGATTCTGGAGTGTGGATAGTTTGAGACGCGGAGCATCTAGAACTCAAAATTTTCAAATTTTAGGAAATCTTGAGGTTGAATAACTTTTTGACCAGCATGAGAATTCATATTTTGCCTTCTCTGAGGAATTCAAAGAATTATCTGACCTTTAAGTGGATACTTAAGCTGACAGAGCAGTTTCTTAAGTATAGAAAGAAGGGGGGGGGGATCATTTAACCAGTCGTAAGTATCACTATTTCAAATTCTCCATTTCCCCCTCCTTTAGGTTTGAAAAGGATGATGACAGACAAGTGCAAGGATTTTTTCTGTTTATAAGTTAACTGCTCATGTCAGTTGAAGTGCAGGGTTTTAACGGATTTTAGTAATAGTGGCTTTGCCATAGAAGTGCTTCATTCCTTTCATAATTGCTTTTCTGTTTTTCAGTGGTCCAAGTACCGTGAATTTTCAACAAAACAATGCCTCTCTAGTTAACGTTACTGGTCTGACCAAAGGTGATTATCATCTTAGATTAACTGTGTTTGATAATAATGGCAATGCTGCATCTGATGACGTTTTCATAACAGTTACACAAAGTAAGTATCAGCTAAACATTAATAATTAACATTAGTTCCACTTTAAATTGCTCAAGAAATCTATTTTGCATGTTAAACTAGACATTTTTAATTTTTTTTCATTAAAGAATTTGTAATTTTTATTTTTTCTTCTCCCAGGAAAACTTAGTGTTTGTTTAGTCTCCAATTTGTGAAGAAAGTCTTTCCAATTTTGAAAGAAGTCTGAAACACAAAAACTGATGTATGTACTAATCCATACGCCAGAGCTCATTTATGAACAGGCTTGTCCTCTTTTAAGAAAATACAGGTCCAACAATTATTCAGGCTCATACAATTGAGAATTGACGATGAACTAAAACTTTGGAGGCCCCTAAATTCCTCATGTCAAAAATTTCATTCTCTACTCTCAAAAATACTACTGCCCAAGTGCCCATGCAAAATCTATGGGTTTCTTTATTGGTCTCTTTCCCTCCCTCTCTCCCTCCCTCTCCCCCCTCTCTCACCCACTCTCTCTCTCCCCCCTTTTCCCCCTTTTTATTCTTGATGATGGAAAGTTATTGAAAGTAAAAAATCCAAATTGATGAAGGATTTTCAATATTGAACTCCTGGCTCTTAATTTTTCTCCTTTTGGTGTCAAAAAATTATTTATCAGAGGCAAAATCCTTCTCTTTCTTTACAGCTCTTTGCTTCCCTTTATCTTCTTATCACAGGAGAATTTCTTATTCTTTGGTATAAAATTGCCATGTTCGACAAAATTAGTCGGATATTCTTTTCATCACTCGCAATTTTTAAATTCTCTAAAATTGCAACGCTTTCTGTATTTTTCAGACAAAAATGCCCCTCCAAAAGCTAACGGTGGTGGTGATCAGACTGTGATATTACCTATAAATTTTGTCGTTTTAAATGGGTCTGCTTCTTCAGATGATTTAGGAATTGTCAAGTGGGAATGGTTTAGAGAACCCTCAAGTTTAGCCCTAGGCACAATTATTCTTAATTCAGACAAATCGCCCATTGTCATGGTAAATATATGTTAATTATCAAATAGTAAGCCTCTTATGAGGCTTTGTTTTTTATTATTTTTTATTTTTGAACGATTTTTTAAACTTAGCAAGAATGGGACGGTTTTAGATTTTTCCAAAACTATGAATAGTCTTGAACAACTGCATTTTCTTTATTTTTTATCTTATTAATTTGCACGAATGGATGTATATTTGCAGGAATAACTCTTTTGAAACCATTTTTTTGTAACCTCTAGAACCTTAAAATCATATTATTGCACCCCTGATGTAGTAACGTAACTCAATTTTATCACATGAACCTAAGAGAGCATGGGGTTCTAAGGATGATAAGGTGCATTTGGTGCATCTCAAAAAGGAGCTATGCTCTTATACCAGAGACGTAATGATATGCGCTATATCTTTAAAAGTTTTATGTTTCAAACTACCCTCTTAAAGACCGTTGAAGATATTTTTTTAATATATCATAATGAGACTTCAATTTTTGTTTTTTAAGCAAAATCATTTGTCGAAGAGCTTGTCAGTGCTTGTTATGATGTAATGAAATTTGTGGTGGAATATTTCACTGAATTTGGCTCATGCTTTAGTGACGATACAACTTAATGTATGTTTCATCGGTAAGGACTCAGGTTCTAACAGAGGGCTGCTGAACAAGATCTAAAAATCAAATAAACTTAACAGCTTCGCATTTTTCAATTAAAAGTGTGATACTTCCATTACATGGGCTTTTTTTCCTTCCAGCTGACAGGCCTTGTGGTGGGAAGGTACGTTTTTAGATTAAAAGTGACAGACGATCATGGTGTGTCAAGTGAAGATACAGTCTCAATCATTGTAAAACCAGGTATTCCGCTGTGTTCCATTTACTTATCTTTTATTTTTACATAATCCCTCTTCAATGGAGTTCTTGCATGTGTCAGGTATTTGCGATTAAAGTATTTCTTCTTATTTAAAATTTTGCAGGAAACGTGATGATGCCTCTAGTGTTCTCTAAAATCAACTCCCAAGCTCAAAAAAAGCTCTCAAAGTTGAGGTTGTATGGAAGAGGTTTCCAACGCTGTGTTGAGAGTCCACCTCTATATTTAGTCAAACTCTTCATGCACAGATGTGGAGCAAATACATTAGGAGGGTTGCTGCAGTTTCAACTCTGGAGTTTCCAAAGAAAATGGCAACTTTGCTAATCACTATTTGTGTCAGGAGAGTTTGACTGGACATTCAGACGGACTCTCAGGACAACGTTAGGTATCCCCTCCTTTAGGGCCTCAACTTTGAGAGCTTTTTTTGAGCTTGAGAGTTGATTTCAGCGAAAAACAGTGACACCATTTTGTTTCTTGCAAAATTTTACGTCAGAAATAGTACTAAAATTGCAAATCCCTGACTTACAAAAGAACCCCATCGTGCCAAGCTATAGGTTTGGTAATGGGTTATTCTTTATTTTTCAAGAAACTATGTATTTTATATTGACTTCCTTTCCAAGATTAGTCATTCTCTCCCGTATGCTGTCAGCTTTTACCCAAAAATTAACTCCTCTAGAAGAAAGAGAAGTAGCCGCATGGTATTGAAAATCGTGTCAGTATAATTGTACCCTCTTGTGGGATATACCCTCAAGCTTAGTTTTTGAAGTTTAATCAAATCCTCTCAACTACTTTTTAGATCCATTCCTACTGTCGCTGGTGGAGTTGCGAATTAATGTTGCTGCAACAATGTTAACAAGCAGTCAAGCAGATTGTGTTGTTTCTCGACTTGGAATTTTGCTTGGGAAAGACATTGTCACGAGAGGCTGGCAGGCAGAATCGCCCAGTTACCATGTCCTTCTAACATTTTATGCTTCAAATCAGTCTGCAACAGAAGTCGTCTCAATCTTGAGACATAAGTTATATCAAGATCCGGGATTACTTCAGTTGCCTGTTGTCAGCGTCAACACTGCTGTTTGTCAAAACAACTGCTCTGGTATGTTAAACATTCAGCCCAAATTATTACACTATGAATCAACTTCATAATAATGAAGAACACTAACTGCTTCCCGGTTATGAGTCTATGATCCTATATGACTTAAGAGTGATAATTGCATTAATCTCCAAGCAGCCAGTCATGGCGCAGCTTTACAGGAAAAATCTGGGGAGAAAATTGATCTTGGGAAACCAGAAAAAGTCTGGGAAAAAGAGCCAAGTGCTCTAAATATAGGGGCAAAAAGTGTTTTAGGAAATTGGAAAGATTCAAATCTTGCGTAGGGTCCATAGGGTTGAAGAGGTTGATGATCCCAAGTAACCAGAATTTCATCATCCAGAAGCCTTACTGCCTCTGAGTGCCTTGGGATGTGAAGGGAGGGGGAGGTCTTGTTCAAAAGTTGGGGCTCCTGTCACAATTTTTAAATGAATTGATCAGAATCAGAGAATATAGAAAAGGAGGAGTATCGTTTTGGGCCTTCTCCGGCCCCACCTGGATTTTGCTGAATGTTTAATATTTTCAAAGTACTAGTCTTGGGTAGACTTTATGCCAAATATTTTACCCAACGGAGCCCATGCAAAGGTGCAACAACGCCTCAAACCCAGAATCTTGTCATCGAAAAATAGTTATTTTCGTCGACTTTTTCGACTGTTATCACTCTTCCAGCAAATGATTCCTGTGTATTTTTTTGCGTACTTTCCGTTTCTGGCCTGTTTAAAGGCCTCCGATAAATTTTAATGCCATCTTTGGCTCATTTTTAGGGTTTTTTTTTCAATTTTACACATGCAGAAATCAATTCACACTAAGAGCCGTACACGTTTTTGAAAGGAACGCACAAAAACGAATAAAAAATGTTCAGTACAACTTTTTTCTACTTTGCCAAATTTTTGATAAAAATCGTTCCAAAGATCCAAAAATGGCAAAAATTCGATAAATTGCTACGCTTTAGGTTCAAGAAAGTGGGGTACAACTTTAATATTGACGTACGTAACAGCTCTTACCTATACAACATATCAAAAAATTAACGTTGCACCTGGATTCCCACGATGTGAAAATTGACCGGGCGTCGATTTTAGCGGCCTTTTTTTTACTTGAAGGTAGCTGTTTTGAATGTTTTTCGACTGTAGTCACCCTCCATAGGTATGTACTCTATGTATTTTTCTACGTAATTTTCATATCTGGCCATGAAATTGGCTTCCTGTGAATTTTAAAAGGCCTAAACGGTCCATTGTTGCCAATTTTCATCAATTTATAGGGTTTTTCTCAAGTTTACGTGTGTGAAACTTAATTTAATCTAAAAACTGTGTACATTTTCGGAAAGAACGTAAAAAAATACATATAATATGTGCTTTGTAACTTTTCCCTACGTTGCCAAATTTTCGAGAAAAATCGTCCTGAAGCGCCAAAAATGCCAAAAATTGGAGTAATCATCACAAAGATGAGCTTTATGACTCTTCAGTAAAAACTTAGGTCAGAATTTTCTGCACTTTGATTTCAAATTTATAATTTTAAAATTTTAAGAGGAACCCTGATTTTTAAAGACAGGACCCCCTTTTAAGCTCCCACGGGATTCTGGGGTGGCTTCGTGATGATGACATCTGTTTCTTTGAGGTCAGATGCTTACTCAACCCTATTGACCTCAACCTCATCTGATCCAAAATAATTGAGATAAAAGCCTAGTACATGTGATCAGGGACATCCCGTATAGCTCCAGGTTATCTCTCAACCAGGTCAGAAAATCATAAAGTAATTAATTTACATTCTAGAGTATCTCTCAAGTCGAGGACTTCTCTTAATCCTGGCAAGGGAAAATTTAGAAAAATAATGGCATTCCAAAATTAAACTGTGTCTATCCAACAGAGAGCTTTTTAAAAGTTTCATCTTTCATAAAGAGTTAAGATACTAATGATGAATTCATGTTTTATCCCTGAAACTAATGAAATGTCTATCCATTTTTTCTCTGGATGGATAAAGGATCCTACCTAAGGCCGAACTGACGACTGTGCTTTTGGGATTATTTTGCAGGTCATGGATTATGTGAACAAGAAACTAGGTTATGTCTGTGTGAAGCGTTCTGGATGAATGATCTCTTCCGGCGATACTTAGGGGATGGAGAGTCTAATTGTGGTAAGTTTTTCCTTAATTCTTATGTATTTTTGTCTTTTCCTGATCTATGAGCTCCCTTTCACAGTTTTGTATTCCTGTCGCTGGTTTCCAGAGGCTTTTAATAGGTACAGAAACGATGTACTATCTAATATATTGGATGCTAGAGTTAATACATTGTAAGATGCTGAAAAAGAGCAAGGTGAAAAGAAGAGACTCTCGGAGACATGTCAGAAGACAAAGGTACATTGTGAAGCGATAACAGAGTAGCCTGCAGGCTGTTACACCTGGTAAGGGCTAGAGTCCTCTGCCTACACATACTATCAACCTATGAACTAGTGAACTAATGATCCAACAATTCTCCCCTGCATTTCCAAAATTGGGAAATTTTTGGAATAATGGAATACAACAACTTCCAGAACAACAAGTGAGAAAAATGCTTGCAAGGAAACAAGATTACAAGAAATTCATTAGAAGTATGGAAGTTTCAAAGTGTGTTAATTTTCAGTTTTGTTGATTTCAGTTCATTTCCTACAGGGATTTTTTATTTAAGTTCATGTACTACAGTTAATACCTTATTGAGTTCAGTTCGTTTTGTTTTATTATTTTTTATTATATTTTAAGAAAAAGAAAGTCTCTATTTTCCCCTTTTTTCCGTACGATTAGGGCAATTAAAGATTGTTATGACTAGATAAGACTGGTAAAAAAAATTAAATCTTAGACTAGATCTATCAAATTAGGGAGAGGAGTAGCGTTGTGGGGGTTTTGACTCCCATGTTGACTGTCGCTGTGGAGGTTGAACTTGAAGTGAGTTGTTGCGAGCTGCACTTCTTCCTTGACCCTGGCTGGAAATTGGAAAGCGGAGCCGGCTGAAAAGCGGAGTGGCAGAAGCAAAATTGATGCTTGGCTGAGGTTCCTCTGGAGTGTGAAAGCCTAGGAACTCAAGAGAACTATCAGAGCTAATCAGAGAACAATGAGTAAGTTCTGATACAGCGGCGTCGGGGGAAGTCGGTACAGAAATTTCTTGAGAACTTTCACTGATTGGAGGACATCATGGAGAAGTTTCTGGAGCAGTAGAAACAGAAGTACTAGAAGTTGCAGGGATATTTTGATGTGTAGTTCCAGGAGTTGAAGTTTACATTGCAGAATGAGATGAACTGTTAACTGGAGCAGGATTGGAATTGTTTAGAGCAGTAGAATTCCAATTATTAGCAGTTGTGTGTGGAGGAGTAGAAGAATGTTGCAACGGAGTGTGGTTACTCCTTGGAGAAGAGTTTCCATTAAGTAGGTAGAGGGTTAGAATTTCCATTTTCGAAAGATTTATTCTTACTTCTAAATTAAGTGTTGAATGAAGGAGCAGCACTGAAGTTGTGTTGTAAAAAAGTATTTGTATTGGTGAAGTGAAAGCAAACTTTTTTGCCACAAGACCGGACTTTGTCAATGTGACGCTTGTAAATTTGATCATTTTAGAGATTGGAGAAATGAAGTTTTCCTAGTTTAGCATGAACTATGCCCTGCCGCCATGGTTTAAACTTATCGTTATATATCTATGCGGAACATAATTAAATCACCTTCTTGGAAAGAAAGAGGTTTAGAGTTTGGAGACTTTAGGATGCACTTTTTCGACGAAGTACCTTGATTTGAAGCGAAGGAACTCTGTGTCAGAGAGAGTTTTGGAAAGAAAAGTTGCACTATATCAATTCTGGTTCTGATAGTTCGTCCAAGAAAAAGTTTTGATATGGCTTTATGATCCAGTGTTTTGAGAGAGTTAGGATATGTACACATACATTAAGCCGCTTTTATAGTGCAGCCTTGCGCTCTGCAACGCCAATGCGCAGAGCTCCAATGCCTTTGCATGGAGAGTTTGTTTTGATGTTAAGGTGGACTCTCAGGGTAGGGTGGAATATCTCCTCCATTTTGGCCTCACTTTGAGAGCTTTTTTTAAGCTTGGGAGATGATTTCAGAGAAAACCAGTGGCACCATCGTGTTTCTCGTGAACTTTTACATAAGAATCAATGGTCAAATCGCAAATCCCTCACACATGCAACATCTCCTTTGGCACCTTCTGATCTCCTCCTCCATCCCTCATCGGCAACCTTTCACCGGACTTCCACGCCGTCGCCTTCCGGGAGGAACCTAATCGAACACCTGCTCTGATCGTCTGCCATCCTTCGCACATGTCCATACCAGACCAACTGTTTGGACCTGATAACGTGCACGATGTCATTCTCCACATTATCTCGCGCTTTTTTACATTGCGGATACGCTCTCTTCTTGAGATGCCAGCAGACCTCCGCCAAAAGTCCATCTCAGTTGTCCTAAGCATGTCTTCAGTTCTTTTCTCCAGTTGCCAGACCTCACTCTCGTGAGTTACGATACTCTTCACGATGACGTTGTAAATTTTTCTTTCTGTCTCCCTAGAGATATTCTGGTCCCAGAGAACCCCATTTAGCATCGCGATAACTTTCCTGCCTTGCACATTCGGATCTTTAATAGCCCGATCCAAATTTCCGTCCTTGGTTAACCACACTCCTAGATATTTATACTCTTCACAGTCTTGAATTCTCCGACCATCCTCCAGTTCGATGCTTTGCTGATCACCACCGATAACCAACTTCTCCGTCTTTACCGCATTGACTTCCATCTCCCACTTACGGTATACTTTCACTAACTTGTGCGTCATGTAATTTGCATCTTCTTCGTCCTGAGCTATTACCACCTGATTATAAGCAAAACACAGTGTTTAAAGGGTGCCATCTTCCTGTAGCGGGACACCCATTCCTGAACAGCATCTTTTCCATTCCTCTATAACCTCTACAAGGTACACTTTAAATAAGGTTGGCGGCAAACAACACCCTTGTTTAAGTCCCTTAGTTACCAGAAACCCCAACAATAACTCTCCGTGTGATTTAACCCTAGAAAAAGTCCCATCATAAAATTCTTGAATTGCACTAATTAGTCTCCCACTAAAATCCCTTTTGTTCAAGGCTTCTCAAAGTTTCATCAATGGCACACTATTGTAAGCTCTCTGGAGATCCACAAACACTAGATGTAATTCCTGGCCGAATCCCTTGTTTTTCTCGATCAAGTGGATGATGGTAAATAAGTGATCAATCGTTGACCGACCGGCTCTGAAACCTGCTCGCTCTTCCGCTTCTTGTTCTTGCCCTTTATCCTTGATTTTAGCTTTCAGAATTTTTCCGTATACCTTGCTTAGGGTACATGCGACTGACAGTCCTCTATAATTATCGCACTCATCATTTCTACCCTTTTTCTCGTATATCGGTGACACTCAAGACTCTTTCCATTCGGTCAGTACCTTGCCACCTGCCAAGCAATCTTGCATCAGGTCTCTCAAACGCTACAACAGCTTGCAGGTTCCACACATAATCAACTCTACAGGAATATTTCCCAGACTCGGAGCTTTATCGTTCTTCAGCTCTCGTACGACCTTTACCACGTCCTTCATGTGAATCTCCAAGTTATTATTATCATTAGTATACCCCAAGCTTACGCCTCCATCTTGAAATTCAGGTCGCCTTTCTGTCAACAAATTTTTAAAATAACCCTCCAGTTTATCAATGGATATCGGAGATATTAAGTCCTGGTTCATGTCCCTTCGCAGTCCTGTCAGCAACTTCCAGCTCTCAGTGCTTTTTCTTCCTCCTATGTACGAGTCTATTCGATTACAGCTCCTCTCCCAAGATTCGTCCTTTTTCTTGGTAATGAGCCTTCGAACCTGCGTCTGAGCTTTTCTAGGTAGGATATGTTAAAGAGCTTCAAACTGAATTCAATTTTTGCCCCATGTGGACTGCCCATGCATCTTCAGGGATGTTTCTTAGCTTGAGCACAAGTTGGAACCTGGAAAAGTACTTATCAAGCGTTTTGGAATCTTTGCAAAACCTATCAAACCGGAAGGTTGAAGCGGGGAGAGGGTTTGTACTACTTTGAGACTGAAATATTTGTAGAGAAGCAAGTTGTCCAACTAGTGCGGTGAGCTCTTGTAGGCCACGTTCCAGGCTGCTTACCCGGTGTTGATCTCCATCTTGGGACAGATCTGAATCCCTCGGCATGGCTAGAAGTTCGGAAGAGTTGGAAGAGGAGGCAATTCACTTCGTGAAGACAGCACGAGTACGAAAATCCTCGTCGCTGTTAATACATCGTAAGATGCTAAAAAGGGCAAGGTGGAAAGAAGAGACTCACGGAGACATGACAGAAGACAAAGGTATATTGAGAAGCGATATCAGAGTAGCCTGCAGACTGTTTACACCTGGCAAGGGCTATAGTCCCCTGCCCACACATACTACCAACCTATGAACTAGTGAACTAACAATCCAACAAGGGTTAAATCTTTTTACTTCAGTGTTTTATGGGTACCTAAAATTCTTGTGGTTCTCTTCTACAAAAATTTATTTTTTTGTCCATTATAAGTGGACAAAAATGTATGTAGGGTGATTCTGGGTTAAACAGCCAGACTGCAGGAGCCGAAACACCCCTAAACCCCCCCCCCTCCCCCCTTTAAATTGAGATTTTGATTTTTTCAGATTATTTATGAATTCAGAGTATACAAGTACAGAGAAGTATAAATTTTCGTGAGATTTGGTTCTCAACCGTTACCAAATTTTAGGAAAAACGATTTACTTTCCAAATTTTTTTTTTTTGGGGGGGGGGCGTAGCTCCGACTGGGGGAACTTTTTGAAAAAACTTTATACAACAAATAAGTCTTATTTTGACCCATAGAGCACGCGCCTGCAGTCTGGCCGTTTAACCCTAGATCACCTTGTATACAAACTCATCTTTAGGAACTGAGGTATGCTCTTTGATTTCATCCCAGTTTTTATTGACAATGCTGCGTGCTAAGTACATAGAAATATAAGCGCACAATGGAACAACGTCCAAAGATTTATTCATATGCATTTAAAACTTTCCTTTTTCCTCTGTTCGAAATTTAAGAAGCTGTTTTAACATTTTGTTTTCAGATTGGAGTATTTTATACGTTGTTGTAGCTTTATTCGTGCTTATAGTTATTTTAGTAGCAGTTGTGTGGGGTATTGTATGTCTATGCCAAAGATCGTGTACTAAACAGTACAAGAAGAGAAGAAGCTATTCCCTTATCCAAAATAATAACCATAGTGAGGAAAGGCGTAAGTACCTTTTTTGTAGTTCTCTAACATCTTAATTATTCAGTATCTCCTTTGATAGCATTTTGCGTCTTTAATCATCCTAAATTAAGATTGAGCAGAACCAACTAGCAGTAAAAGTGCCAAACCACATATCTTGATTCAAGATATTTTTAATCTTATCACTTTTAACTCTTCTAAAAGAGCCCTGATCATTGTTTTTGCACAAAATGCTGATCAATTTTTATTTGGTTTCTCAAGAATATTTTTCCAAAATGTTGCTCAAAAATTTCCTGCAGCATCCTCTGGAAGAAATAAAATTATGGTTTGGTAGTTTCACCATTGATACTAGTTTAGTTTATTATTAGTCCAGTCATTGGGGGGGGGG